CTGCGCTTCGGAATTCTGAAGCCTTTGCCCATTTAGGAAAATAGTCTGCACCTCTACTCTTCCGACCAAATTGCATCACCTCACACGTTCCCGACGTTGCATTCCATCTCTTTGCCCACTCTCCTCGGCCTATCAGGGTCCTTCTGCAGCCTCCTTGCCTCCTCAACACTATTCGCCCCTCCACCTATCGCTGGGTCATCTGCAAACTTAGCAACAGTGCCCTCAGTTCCTTCACCCAGCCTGGCAGTGTATCGCGGGAATAGTTGTGGGTCCCAATGTGGAACCCCCACCACCCCCCTAGTCGACCTGCACTGGGCCCTTTTGTGCTTCAGATTCCCACATCCGTGCTATTGCTCAGTCCCCCTGCCCTCGGTTGGGGGGGTTTTGGTGGGAATGCCACTGTTCCTTACCTGACCCACCATCCGGGGGTTCCGGGTATCCGAGATGTCGTACTGCCGGATATCTCCGTGCAGCCAGTTACTGAAATACAGGAAGCGATCGTCCAGGGAGATGAGGATATCTGTGATGAGGCCTGTGCGAAAGGAGAAAGGAGTCACATAGGGGAGGCAGAGCAGGAACCCCTGACCCTGACCGAGACCCTAACCCAACCCTGACCCTACTGTAACCTGGACACTGACCCCCGACCCTAAACCTGACCGAGACCCTGACCCTGACTGTAACCTGAACACTGACCCCTAACCCTGACTAGACCCGAGCCAACCCTGACTGTAACCTGGACCATGAACCCTGACCTAGACCCTAACCCAACTCTGACCTTGACTGTAACCTGGACACTGACCCCTGACCCAAATCCTAACCCCTAACACTGACCTCGACCCTAACCCAACCCTGACCCTGACCATAAACCTGATCCTTACCCCTGAACCTGACCCTAATCCTAATCGCAGCCCTAACCTCTGACCTTCACCCTAACCCTATTGTAAACAGCCAGCGGGTACAGGGAGCAGGAACCCCTGACCCTGCTCCTGACCCTGCCCCGACATTCATTGCATTTACCTTATCTGCTGATCAAGCAGCCGCCTACACCCTCTCCCTATCACCTCCTCCGGCCCCAACACCCCTCCCTATCTCTGTCACCTCCTCCGGCCCCAACGCCCCTCCCTATCTCTGTCACCTCCTCCGGCCCCAACACCCCTCCCTATCTCTGTCACCTCCTCCGGCCCCAAC